ATATTCCCAACACGGGATACACACCGAACTCGATAAAATCAACCGAGCGTCCGACTTTCTGCTATTGACGTGCAAAGTTTCGTACAAGTCGAACGGCTTACCAAGTCCGAGAGCCGTCAAAGTCTCCGGAGGTTGTATGGATCTTCCGTGGAGTTTTTGTTGCCCGCGGAATTTGCCACAAGTTAAACGCGACGGCTCCGTAAACTTAATTTAAAACGCGAGTGAAGGATAAATCGGAAAGTGTGCGACTCGTCCATCGTATATATGCTCTTGCTGTCACAAGTTCCGATGTCACTCTGTTATCCTGATTGTTTCGAGGTTTAAGTCGTGAAATAAAAATTATTAGCTTAATCGTAATAAGAAAAAGAAAAAAAAATTGAAAAAAGGTTCGAGATTTACGTTATTCGGCGACTCGCCATCGGGGCGTATTCGTTTGCACCATTATTTTACTCGTGCAATGAGTTCCGGCAGTAAGTTTTGTCATAAATTCCGAAACGCGTGCACAAGGAGGGCAAATTTGAAAAGTTAGCGTGGAACAATGTGTCTGCCGGAAAACTTTGTTGAACTTGAAAAATTTCGATCCCAAGCCTCGTAACAGGTACGGCTGAAATGTTACTCCACCGATTGGGTATCAAGTGACAGATTTCGAATTTTTCACGGACAAGCTTGTCACAAAGGGGTTTTTGTCTCGCATCAGGACACGTTATGAATAATTTTTCCTTTTTTCTTCAATACCCACGTCTGGAAAGGTCTCTGCGTAAATAAAACCAATACACTGTATACCATGGTACAATGTACCGTTTTTATGGTTACTTTTCACTTGAGTGATTGAAAAAAGAGTTGCAAAAACAACCCACAAATTTTAAATCACAGAAAAACAGAGAACAGTACGCAAATACCAATACGAGCCGTAATAAATTTATTACCTCCGCGCAAAAACAGCTTGAAAACAAAATCTTCCTCCGACGAGGGGTGAAAAAAAATACGGCCACGTGGAGTGGAGTCGTTATAAATTTTCGCCCCTTCAACTTCTTAATAACGACCCATGGATTATTTCTTCCCTACACAATGGAAAACTCTTTGAAAAAAAAGCACAGCATCAGCGAAAAACGATGAGAAAAAAAAATGAAACGCAATAGTATACTTACAACCAGCTCGAAAATCTCATTATCCGCGAGAAAAATCAAGCAACATCAAGACAATCCAAATAAATAATTAATTACACGGAAGTACAGGGGCGAGATGAGGGAAGAGCTATTACTGAAATCCTTGGCGTTATTTATTTACGTCAAATGAAAAGCTCGTTCCGCGTAATCCTAGCCTTGGGCTGAATAAGAATAGAGAGAAAGAAGCTTCTCTGTTTTCTCGGGTTGCTGCACTCGGTACTCAACACGGCACAATGATAATTGCCAAGAGCTCCGTAATTTGTCTTACCGCCACCTCCCATATGTATACGTACATACATACACACCAGAAACGAAGAGAGGAGCTTTAGACTCTGTGAGGAGCGCGGCACACTTGCACGGCTAATATCCTTTGTTTTTTTTAATTATCCACATCCTTCCACGCTCGTATGCGCCCATGCACGAGGGACTGCTTTTTCTCGGTACCGTGGAAAGCGACGACCTTGCGTGTGATTAAAAAGACCGGCCCACAGAGTTGTCCTTTTTCCCTCCCTTCTTGGCCACTGTTCTTCATTTCTCCTTCTCCGCTCGCTCGTTTATTTTTGTCCTTTGCCCCGACCACGCGAGCGCGCGTCGGAAATTTTTTTTTTGTCCCCACGAGTTTCTTTGCCTTTTAGTTGCGTTGGGAGAAGGATGGGCCACGGTTTTCATTGAAATCCGTCATTTGGCTCGAGTATCCATTTTTCTTACTTATCTGCGTGGTAATGGCTTCTCCAAGTTTTGATTGAATTTTTTTTTTTATGTTGCGCGTGCCACTGTAAAAAGCCTCTCTAGGTATACGATGTTTGTGTGAGTTTTAAGGAAAATTGGCTTTATAACAAAGTCTTTTTTTTTTTCCAACCAGAGCTTCGAGTCTACTGGAGAAAAATTTTCCAAGTGTGGCAGGAGAGTAAGCCGTAACGGCGCGCTTACCTTTTTTCCCGATTCCAAGGAGAATAGCCATTGCTGCTCCGCACCCACGGGGCCGAATAAAGAAAATAACGTTAGAGGATTCGGAAAATACGCGCCCAGAGCACCACATGGTGCATGCGACTGGTAGAGTGGCAATAAGCCGTGATGCTGCGAATAAAAGAAAGAAAAAAAAAAAAGGGTATTATTTTCGTTTGATCTCGAAAAAGCGGCGTAATCTACCGATCGTAGCGAGCAGAAAGTACCGAGGAATAGAAAACCATGAGCTCGCCGGGGGCGTGCATGGGGTCGCGTGAGCCGAAAAAACAGTGGTTGTGGAACAGTGTGTCCTATCCTGCCCGGCGCAAAAGGCGCGGGTGTACACGGAGATGGAATCTACCTGGATTTGCGACACTCTATTGTCGCCCTCGAGCACGCGACTGTAGCCACATGAAGGGGGGGTTGAGTCGCGAATCGTTATCTCTCTACGTGTGGCGTTGCACAGGGAGCGCGTTTGTATGCAACTCGCCGTGTGCCCCGCGTATCTCTTTGCACGGGAACTCGCGGCGGTAGGGTAGGAAATGCCGTTTAGAATTTTCGCCCCGATCCAGCCAACAGTTTACAAAAATGCGAGAGCCTTTGATAGTCACCCCCTGAAGGGATATATCGTACGCGTTATCGGAGCTTTTTTTCGCGTTCACGAGAGAGATGGAGGACACGGGACTAATAAAATGAAAGGAAAAGAGAGAAAAAAAAAAAGGTTTTTAACATAAACCCAAAGTAACATAATCAGGGTTCATTTTATGTTTTATATATATATTGTATATATATTTACTATGTACTTTATTCCATTTTGCGATTCCCCGTGTAACTGAACTGCGTATCCGACGCGGCCGCGCGCACAACAACCAATTCTCGAATACCGAGTTATCATTAAAACACTAACACCCGCGGCAAAAACAAAACACGTACGATACACCGCACGGGAACGGGCCCGTTGTAATCAAACGTTCCGTGTTTGCAGAGTTTCAGCTCAGTGCCTACGGTAAATAATATCCACTGCTGGAGGTGTACGGCAGTGCAACCAGTTACATTTTAGATTCGCAATCATCTCCCTCGGCGGGGATTGCTCGGTGTACACACCCACACCTGAACATACACACGTAAGCTCGTGTACAGGTACGCGTCGCAGCAGCGGAAGTTGCCTGGCACGGTGATTTAATAACCAAAGCGTCGAGAGAGCCGACCCGCACGATTCTATTCCTTCTCGGGGTACAGTGCGAGCTCGTCTATCTACACGCGTGTCCTCAAGAATAATCAGAAATTCCGCTCGAGAATCACGCAGGGTTGCCTACTTTACCCTGTATTTGCGAGGAAAAAAAACATCGTCGCAGTTCACGCGAATGGAAAGATGAAGCCAGAGCCGTGGAATTACTTGCTTTTATCGGATTTGGGTACGTCTTGAATCTTCCGGTTTTATTTTGGTCGACTGAGTCGCTAAAGTAATTCGTGATTGTTGATTGAGTAAAAAAAAAAGAAAAATCAATGAATTTCACTCGTAATAAAGGTAAGGAGTTATAAAGAATAAGAGATCCTATAGCACCACCGAAAAAGCCTCGTGAAAGTTTTAAAGGCCGAGCCAAGCGTGTATACATACGCCAGGTCTGACCATAGACGAGTATTACTACTTGCAGCGGCAGTCGAGAGATTCCGGCCTCGGACTTTCATTACGTTTTCTCTTGTCACCCTCCCGCTGCGTTATTTACACCATTAGTATCGAGTGTATAAATTACAGATGTAAAGCACGAGCAAAGTGGATAAAACCAACTTCCGGACTATACCAATCGCTTCCGAAATAGGGCACACCCGCGCGTTGTATCTGCTGTATGCGATCCCTAGCACGTATAAAGTTATTTTTTACAAAAAAAACAGGGTACACGCGCTTTTATTCGTTCACCTCCTGCAGCAAAGGAATAATAAACGAAAAAGCTTACACAAAGAGTATCAGTTGGTTTTTTTTTTTTTTTTTTTTAGAAAACGCATAATATTCAGCGGGCGGTCGAATTGAAAAATCCTCTTTTGTGCGGCAGGTGAATATAAATTGTAAATGGAGGTTCCCTGGTGGACACCCACAGTGTTGCACTTGACTGTACTTTCATACCTTTGCTGTGATTACAACTTGGCAAGCTGCGACTTCACGCGCCCTTTGTATGCTACATCCTTGGCGCGACAGGCGCGAAAAGTCGCGGAAGTTGGAGCCAACCTGGCGAGTCATGAATTTCTTTTTTTTTTTTTTTTTCGTCTTCCAGTCGACAGTGGTGGGCAGAAAAAAATCTACATCCGATGAATATTTTATGAGATGCATACGCGTGGGTGGTAGGAAGGAGGGGGTTGGAGGGAAATCCTTGTCTGAAAAGTTATTGCGCCCACATGCCGCGTTTTTCTTTTCGAGAGCACGCATGAATAGAAATTGCTCGGGTAGCAAATATTAAAATTTTCGTGTTTGCTCTTACACCACGGAGCATATTATTTCGCGTTCGTACTTGGGACGCGGACGTCTTGCGAATTTTAACGAAACGGAACGCGCCAGTTTGAAGAATGTAAAGAGATGCCCGGAGAATCTAAAACGTGATGATTCGATATGATGTGCTCGATGGAAAAGTATGCGATGCCATTTTTATCGGTCTAAATTCCATTGACGGAAATTCACTCAAACAAAACTCATAAGATCTTTCCTGCAATCGAGCAAATGTAAACTTCTTCAGAAGCTCGTGCATGTTATATTTTCCTGCGTGGATGATACAATGAATATTGTAGACATTTCAAGCTTCGCCAACTTTATTGTACACCCAAATAACGACAAACACTCCAATAGAGTTACCAACAACGATGAAGATAACGATGATGAGTATTTTGTGTTTGTTACAGGCGGAGAATCTTGCCATCCGTACAAGCCGTTCAAATGCCCAGAAGACAACACGTGCATATCGATACAGTACCTGTGCGACGGAGCGCCAGACTGTCGCGAAGGCTACGACGAAGATCCGCGGCTGTGCACCGCTGGTGAGTTGTACAATCGTATATTCATGTAACAAGTATCTTTATATACCGTAAATTAATTCAGAACAAGTACGCGATATATACATATTCCAATCGTTAACGCGACGCTTTGAGTTTAATAAATCGTAAAGGGAGAACTGCTCGGCTTTGGGCAAGTCCTTTTGTGCTGAGTAGTATGTCGTTATCAAAGGGTGCGAGAGGCCTCACCAACGTGTTCATTGGGCGATATTTTTACCAAATAACGGAAGATTCAACCGTAACCTCCATTGAATAAGTTAATGCGTTTTACTCGTTTTACCGTAGCGCGTAAAATATGCAACGCTCAACACCTACGTGAGAGAGAGAGAGAGAGAGGAAGCACTTTTCCTTTCACCTGCTCTCATTCTACTTTGCACAGTGTGTTGGAAGCTCGAATCAGCTTGCGGTCTCGGAGGCTTCGGAATTTAAAAGTAGCACAGGGACCGCGGAGGATCAACTATGTACTTCAATTAATGATATTTCCTTGCGTTTCGCTATACTTTTGGGATTTCTCTTCTTTTTTTTGTTATTTAATCATTTACACATTTAAACAAACTGAGGCTACGAGTTACGTAGAAAGTGCATTTTAATAAATAAACCCGATGAAAATAATTGGTTTCACACATTTTCATCGACATGCAATTTTATTCGGGATTCGAGGACTAAGTGGTAACTGGTCGAGTTCCACTGAGATGGGCTTTCGTTTTCTTTGAATTAAAATTATAAATTTTTGCAATGAAAAAAATGATAAAGCACCACGGATTCCTTCCAATCCCCCGAAAGCACGCAAAAGCACGATCTTAGCAACTTGTCGATGCATACCTATACATTTCTCTGTCTGAGGTCTCTCAAGCTTCGCAGGATACGTATACGCTTGAACGACGATCGGAAATTCCCAGCATGATTCTCAGCAGTGTCAGTTGTGTGTGGGTGCAGTGCAGTTGAACGGGCTTGCGTGCATCGTCACAAAGTGAACAATGTTATCGCATCGCTTGCTTTGTGTACACACACATGCACGTGTGGGGTGAGCTTTTCGCGAGCTGCACTCGCAGTACCTACACTCTTATACACGTGCTTCTGTCGAGTCGAGTGGGGTGAACATCATCACTGGTCTGCGTCAGCGTGTTTTTTGTTTGTTTTTTTTTCCCCCCCTTTACATGTGATTTCGTTCCGTTAGATCTTGTTCTTGGGTAAGGTAAAGGGGACAAAGGGCGCGAGGTCTCTCGGAGCGAATTAATAAGTAGGTGCTTATACCTACACACGTGCACGTGCGGTACATAATATCATACACATGCGCTGCCGAGCGTGAAATTAGACGCAGCCTGAAAATAATGCATATGTGTGTGTGTGTACAGGTATAAGAGAGAGAGAGAGAGAGAGATGTTTCATACGCCCTTAGCCGTTGCCAAAAATTTTTAATCTCGTTATTATTGCAATAAAAGAAAAAAAAAGTAGTGGAGTAATGAATCATAGCCAAGTAGAAATCAACCTTTGAGCGCACGATGTATATTTTATTTGTACACGTTGCAGCTTGCAGATAATGTTAATGCAGGTATTTTCGACTAAAACACGTACTCGGTAATTATCCTGGAGTTCATGTAACTACGTTAATTTGTAATTAACATGCGTAGTTTGGGAAATGCAAATACGTGTGGCCGTGTAGTGGCGCATATCGATTGATGTGTTCGGTGCAGTGCGGTGGGTTGGGGGGGGGGGTAATTCCTCGCGTATTTCGACATCATATTGTTTAACGCGCCACGTTGGCGGTGACTTTTAAATTAGACAGCGAATGAATTTATCATCGTTCGATCGTTTAATCGCATTAACGTCAATTGCTTCCGGATGAATTGTTTTTTTTTTCTTTTTCATTCTTTTGCGTCGATTGGAATAAAGAAGAGTCAGAAAGAGACAATATAATTGAGGCGTATAGTTTTATTTAAATCGTGTAATGAGATTTTAAAAAATCTCATCCAATTTCAAATAAATGAGATCTTTTTTATAAAAGGGTATAATTTATTGTATAAACATCTCCTGAAAATCACGCGATTGATTATCTAGAAAAAGCAAAATTGTTGGTAAACTTATGAGGATACCTATACCTGATTTTTGTTCGTGTAAATAAATGATTTTGTAAAATTTATGGGATTCGATGAACAGAGTTTTGATGAGTACAACCGCTAACTGGCAGCAAGTTGAATCTCGTTTGTACGATTCATGTAAAAAAAAACTTTTTTTGCGTATTCTTAACATTTCTAGAGCTTGTAAGGTCTTTGGGGACGTACGAAGGAAGAGACTTTACTCCAAGTACTTTTAAAGCAATTAGAAAAAATACTCCATCGCGTCGGTGCATTTATTAAAAACACAGAGTGCAGCCCTCATTTTTGCCATTTTTCTCAAAACAAATGCAACAAGCGACAATTCGCGAACCCTCATTGTTGTACCCATCAAGTCCAAACGCAGGGAGAAGCCCACGACAATGGCGATGTACCCATAACGATAACACCAACGTCACAAACGGGGGAAGAGCCGCAATTAATATTGTGTAAGCTTTCGCTGGAGTGCCAATAGCAGGTACGTAAAATCTCGCGAAACACAGCATATCCCTATGCACGTTAGGAACGCGTATGACAAATGTAAATGGTATACCGAGGGTGCAACGGGAGGAAGCAGTTGAGGAGAATTTTTTTCACGATTCCGAGGCCCCGTATGACACGGTCGACGAGATGTTTTTTCCGAGGCGTGGAGTAATTGACAAGATCGATACGTAACTCACGTCAAGCGCCAACCCTCCTAATTGCCGTTAGTGGTGATCTTTCTGTCACCCATGATAACACACAACACAGACACAATAGACAACATTGAGGTTGAAATAGGGCGAGGATGTGATTCATGGGGCTTATTCCGTATTCGGGTGCCGTGGCGAGGATAGCGACTTTCCGAAAGGAAAGGGAATCCGTGCATGATCGAGTGTTGTACAAAAAGAGAGCGGGGGTGGGGGGTGGAAACCAATTCCTTCGAGTTAGCGGGACGGGAAAAGGAGACACAACTCGTGCGCGTCGAATGCCTTTTCTCTGTGTATATACATGCGTACGCTTACTTTCTCCCTGCACGTATGCGATGTCTGCCTGTGTGCACACCTGCTCCGAACTCCTTGAAACTGCTCTCTATATCTGCTTTGATCCGGCCCCATCTGCCGAGGTTTCGGCAAAAGGGAGTTTGGGAAGCCGCGTAATCATTTCGCCCATCCAAGGCCATTCGTATTAAGGTGGCTCGCGTCACATGTAATTTCTGTCCTTTTATTTTTTACCCTCCAACTCCAGGAGAGCCGATTTTAATCCTCGCGCCTCGAACAGCACTTTACCGCCGATGTTTTCCTTCGAGCTCTTAATTGGACCTCCGAAAACCCACTCCACAGCTTCGCTTGCAATTAACGCCCGAGCACATATAATAGGGATATTCGCGTCTGCGGGATCCTAATTGTCGAGAAAGGCTTCGATAACGAAGGCGAAGAAGGTATACGCTGGGTAAGTAAGGCGCTGGTGGCTATAATCAGTTTTTTTTTTTTTTTTTTTTTTCTCTCTCCACGCACTGCTGCAGCCGGAGAAAAGAGTGAAGAGAACGAGCTGTTGTTGGCCCCGCTAATTGAGTTCTCCTCGACAGTACTCGACGATACATACATACATACACGCGCAGAAATTGCCGCTGATGGCTTTTTCATTTGTTCCGAGGGGAAACTCGCGAGCTCTGCTGTCGTCTGGTTTTCTGCTACGTTATATACGTGTACGGAAAGACTCTTTTAAAGACACTCGAGGCCAAGAGATTTCCAAGGGGGTTGTCTTTCAACTGCATTGTAGGCTAGGATCCTCGTAAAGTTTCTCCATCGGTGTGTTTTTTTTATTTTTTTTTTTTTTAATCAAGCACTTTTGCGACCACGAGTCTAATTCTGGAACACGGTTTCAGAGCTCATACCAGCAGCGGAGGGGAAAACACATTCGTATGCGCGTCGCCTTCCACGTCCCTCCTCGCGTTTTCCGCGCTAAATCCGCTGGATCCAACACCGCGAAAACCGTCTCATTTATACGACACTCGACGCCGTCAAACGCGCGCTTGAACTTTGCCTCTTATACCTCCGCGTTAGTGAAAAAAAAAGAAAAAAAAAAAAAAAAAAGTTTGCCCCGCAAAGCTTCCCGTGTTTCATACAGATACGCCGGTAGTCCTTTGTAAGTGTACGTGTGAAATCGGTGTCTCTCGGCTAAGCCGGTCTTTCATAAATTATGTCACGTGCGGGAACTTTTTTCACGACACAGCGTTATTTTGTGCTGCTTTAGAAAGCAACCTTATCAAACGTCTTTTTTTGTGATGACTCCTCTGCTTGGGATTTCTTTTTTAGGGTTTCCGTGGATTGAATAGTATTTGATGTCGATGGAAAGTAAGTACAGGTAAGAGTTTCCGAGGGAAATTTTAATTTGTGTGCCTGAGGGAGCTCTGCGCGTATTGTGTTGCAGCCAAGAACTACTTGTAAAACGCGCGGGGTAGGCCATGCATAATAATTCATCTCCGGAGAAGATGTTGTTTTCGACAAATTACACAGCGAAATCGCGATGTCGTTTCTGAAATAATATCATGGTTATACTATAATTTAAAAAGCATGTGTTGCGATTGGATTTCCATCCGAATTATTATCATTGTTACAGAGTTAAATAATTATTCGATGTTAATTTTGGCGAGAGATAAAAATGTCATTGCAGTAATTTTCACGTCCCCGATTGGTACAGATGAGTTTAGTATCTCGGTCTAACTGAAAAGTACAGTACAGTCATGGTCATTGAATTAACGAAGAAAGTTGGCTTAAAACAACCTCATTCATCACAACAAATTGATTTCTAGTTGGTCATTCTTGCAAATGTTTGTAATAATTTTATTTCCAAATGACGCCATGATTCAAACAGTTGACAAAGTCCTTGCGTAACGTGGCATAAGCCGGTAAACACATAAACCAGCAATCATTCGAAAAACGGAGCAAAATTCCATACTCGACTCGTGTAATAAGCCCAAATTAACATCAAAGTTAAAAACACGCGTTCGCTCGGCTCTACTTGTCTTTTTGCTTTTCATATCAACGCGAGCAAAAAAAAAAAAAAAAAAAAAACGATTTAATTTTAATCCTCTCAAAATTCCATTTCCATTCCCAACACAGCTGATTATAACGTGCGTAGATTAAGCTAGAAAGGGAGGGATAAAGGGGGAGGAAAAAGCTACGGGCTCTCAGCGGATGGAATGAAAACGTCCAATTTGCTTTGAGCCTCAGGGGAAAAGCAAATCACTCGCGAATACATAAAACGCCCCCGTGCCCCCACGCGCGTACATACACATTCATATACATGCGTGGGTCTGCCAAAGGGGTACGGACGTGACGAGTGCAAAAATTGACCTACGCACGTTTCGAGACTCCACATCCCCCCTTTTTTTTTATCCATCAAGTTTGATAGGGGATTTTTCGATACAGCTCGTCGGAGTCTCGATTTTTACCTTTTTTTTTTTTCACACAGACGACTATGTACGTATGACATTAACTATTTGGGATTACCTCGTTTAGAGTACTTTTTCAAGGATTCATCGTCCTCCCAGACGCCTAATGGATTATTAGCCGCCACAGTCTAAAATTTAATAACTGTGTCCGTGTAGATGGGATCGAACTCACCTTCCCTTTTGTTTTAAGCAGGGCTCGAGCGCGTCTAAAATTAGTCGTCTCAACGACTTACCGGACAGATCGATATACGTACGTCCAATCCACAAATACACGCCTCGACGACACCGAGACGCAAAATTTAACTTCGCCACGCGAAAACCCTCTGGGCATTACGTTTCCTGCTGGTGCTGCAGAAAAATCCCAATGACACTCGTACACGTGTATCGGGGACATCTTATTATCCCTTTCCTCTTTGGCCGATTTTCCCGGCCTCAGCAATCCCCTTTCGATTACCCGCGGTCTATCTTTCTCTCTCTTTCAGCAAAAACTTTCCTCTCCGTCGCGTAAATCACTCTTAATTAAAAGGGCACGCTGTACAACACCATCGGAAACGCCTCTGTGTATTTTCATAATACTAAAAAAAATATACATGTACGTGTGTATAAGTGCCATCGTAGGTGCAAAGTCTACACTCGTAAAGTAAGAAAACTGCCCGTCTCGAAGGGAAAAGCCATCCGGCGCGGCTGGAGTCGAGAAAAACGAGCCAGCCAGCGACAACAAAGCTCGAGGAATTTATGGCTCGCTTGGCGGTACGGAGCAGCGTTTACTCGAGTTTGTGTTGTTGCTTTGGCTCCTTCCGCGACACTTGAAACAATAAAATATATCTCGAGGCGTTGCTCTGGCTCCGTGTGCCGGGAATCTTTGGGTGTATTTGTTTGTTTGTTTTTGTCGGGCGCTTTGTGATAGCGGTGGTCGGCGAGACAGAAGAGCAGGAATTTTTTGCTAAACAATTTCGAGTGTCTATTGTTGTCGTGTCGATAAACGAATCGCTTTACGGAAGGAAAATACCAATGGCTCGGTGGTGAATTCCCATAAATAATTTTTTTCAACGGTACCTACTCGTGGAACACTAAGAGCGAAATAGACGTGACAATCGACATGAATCATACAAGTAGAGCGTTTCAGGCACGAAAATAAAGATGCTGATAGTTTTTACGACCGGTAATGAAATATTCACGCTGTTGCAAGAAATTATTTGAAACGTTATTATCACCCCACAAACATTACATTACGAGGCGTACATCAATGAAAAAAGGGGCATCAAGTGCGCAATGGCATACTTAAATATTTGATGGTATGTGGTTGGAGGACTATCCTATGAGCATGTTATTATTTAATGTATACATGGAAACCATATTATCTTAAAAGCAATCACGCAAGGATTATCGTAAAAATGATTAATCCTGCTTAAAAATAGCAAAAATGAATGTCTGACCAAATAATGACCTATTTTACTGAAATCAGGATTACTATGAAATTTACTTTAGATGACAATATTAAAGCGTGTAATCATTTAAATGATTTTACTATCGCAATAGAAATCGCATAGAAATACTCGTAAAAAATATTAGACTCCCTTGAATGCAGTAAAAATCAATGTCTGACCATATCGCGACCTATTCTACTGATTCTGAAAATACGATGAAATGTTTAATTTCGCTCACACATTTAACTACTTATAATTTAATCATCGAGCTCCCTTTTATATTTCCATTTAACAATCAACAAAATTCCAATAAAAGTTTATTTAACTAAAAAAAAAAAATAAAAAATAAAATTTAGTGGGCTTTATCACCTGTTTCTGTCTGTTCTCAAAACTACTCATACTTTTACAAAATACACATTACATACACCTGGACAATGAGAAGTAGCTATCTGTATTCCTCATGTAACTTGGTGATGTTATTTTTGCACATGCAACAATTACAAAACACGTTTACAAGCGAATCGAGAGAGAGGTATTATAAGGAAGAGAGACTCCAAGCGCAAGAATTCTACAGTTAACTGTCTGTAATAATTTCTCTCGTACATTTTTATTAATTTTCAGCTAAAAGACCACCTGTGGAGGAGACGGCGAGCTTTTTGCAGGCTCTGCTGGCCAGCCACGGGCCCAATTACCTAGAAAAGCTGTTTGGCAGCAAAGCCCGGGACGCGCTGGAGCCCCTCGGCGGAGTTAACAAAGTTGCGATTGCCCTGTCGGGTAAGTACACGCCTCTATACCTATTTACCCCACTACCTTTTATACCGACGCAAGGCAGCATACGAGCATGGATCCGACCTATGGGTAATTAACGCGCGATTCGACGTGTCCACTTTTTTTTTTTTTGCTTTTCTCGACGGCCCGTGTGCTGCTCTTTGCCACTTTGTTTCGAGTCTCTTTGATCATATTCACATTTGCGAGTACATATACAGTACATGCTTTTTCGAACGACAGATCGGTGTGCTGTTACTTTATCTGTTTTATTAATCAGTACAGCATCATACAGTATATACATTGTCCATCGGGAATGAGATTTGTAGTAACGCCAATTGATTTCCTTCGCTCGTGGGCTTAACTTTTAACAGCCTTCATCTGGTGGAACTTTCAAGCTCTTGTATTACGACTCAACCTCGTTACAAAAATTGTGGCTCGCTAGTGGCGAAACTTCTGTGCTCCTCCGTTTCATTTATTTATTGTTACTGGCTCCGTGAAAGTTCAAAGGGCCAATACGTTAAACTTTTTTTTTGTTCCTGCCAATACATAATCGTGAAAAACTTCCCTTTGTCCAATGAAAAGAGAAGTAACTGAATGTGTTTTTTCAAAGAATCGCAAACGATCGAGGACTTTGGAGCGGCGCTTCACCTGATGCGATCGGACCTCGAGCACCTGCGCTCGGTTTTCATGGCAGTGGAGAACGGCGACCTCGGGCTCCTCAAGTCGCTCGGCATCAAGGACTCGGAGCTGGGCGACGTCAAGTTCTTCCTCGAGAAGCTCGTCGACACGGGCTTCCTCGACTAGAACGAGATCGACAACGGCAACAGGAACCGCGGTGACGGCCGCCAAGCCAGAGGGAAGCGCCTGCACGACAGGTTGTCATCGCCGTCGATATCGCCAAGGCGTGAGTGGTCGGCTCTACGATGCAAGTAAACAAAATAACAAAACAAACGAAAAAAAAAAAAAAAGAACTGGATAATGTTGAGCCACTCCGAGTTTTTTACCCGATCGTTGAGACAACAGTTTGCACGCGAATGTACATTAAAATGGTCACGCTTTGCTGGTGGTTTTTACGCTTGCTTCGGGGTGAGCTTTCAGTTCTTCTAATTGATTGCTGAAAGGTCACTCCTGGGCGTGTAGTTCATGTGTAGCTTTAGACGCGCTCTTATCTGTGTCCAGAAAAAGGTGTACAGCACAAAGTGAGCTTATTCGTGCATGTTATCGCGTACGTCAAAAAAAACAACAAAAGGAAAAAAAAATGCGCCCCGATCTTATCCCTCTGAATCACTAGCTGGGAATATGATTGTTTTGCGTGTCTGATTATTATTATACCAGACGAGAATCACCTATACTATATACCATACGATGTGCTGATTATCATCTATATTTATTGTACGAATCTTATCGTATAATTTATTGTCTATGGCAGATAAGCTGGTGTCTGAACTCGACTTTTGCCCCTCGATTATGTTTCAATACTGTGAAAGAGCCAAGGTTGTCGGTACAAATAATTCACGGCTTTTGGGTTGATCTATTGACATTTTATTGCACTCGAGGAAATAAAATTTTTAAAAAGCTCGGTGTACCGAAGCATCGAGCAAGAGTTGGTATAAATAATAACACACTACGGATTTTAGTCTGCAAATCATCGTGCATTATATTGTAGAAGCATGACGCGATGGTTAAAAAAAAAAAAAAAAAATACTAAACCGAATGAGTTTCACGCGCTTGTGCTTTTTGCCGCTGTGATTATTAATAAAGTCTCCTTAAACAAACACATGAAAGTAAGAGCGCTAGATGCAAGAAATTGAAATTTTTAAGACTTCTATAATTATTTAATGGGTTGTTCAGGATGAAAATTAAAAAAATTATATCAAAGCAGCATTTTTAGACAAAGAACGTTTAATAGAAAACAAAATGTAGTTATCAAGCAATCGGATAGCGATGATTAAGGAAAAAGAGTAAAGTCTATATATAAATATTTATATGTATACACTGAACGAAAAAAAAGTTTTAAAAATATATTATTGTATTACGATATATACACAGATATAAATATATTATACATATCAAGGAGTACTAATTGAGGGATGGAGATATTGGTGCGGAACATTTTACATGTTTAGTGTAACACTGACTCTTGATATTATACGGTTAGTTTTGGCTCGCAAAATGCGCTTGACGTCACGGAAAAAAAAGGGGGATGGTTGAGTATAGACAATTACATGGGATAAAAGCGCTTTTTCTTTTGTTCAGGCCACACTGCAGACGCGAGTTATTGGACGCTTAAAGGCTTTTCTTTCGTTCTTTAGTATCTAGTTTCGCTTTTATCTCTCTGGGTTCTCTTATTATTTACTTAATAGGCTCTTCTACGCGCCTAATGAATTTTCAATAATTTCCTAGATACGATGATAAGTTTTTATTTTATTTTTTTTTTTTTTACAGTTAAAGTAGCGCAAGGTTCTTAATTTTTTTCAACAAACTTCTAAAATTACTCAGTATTTTTCTTTCTTTTTAAATTAAGGAAAGGGTAATAAATTGTTGATTTTCGTCGCTCATCATTTGGTTTCAGTTATAGCCAAAAAATACAATAAATGAAAAATAAATTCAATAAATATTAAGTACGTAAAATTTATGGTGAGTGAATTTCATTATTAATTGCAGTAAATTTTAATACCAATGCGTCGTGACAGAAAAAAATTAAGAACCACCAGTACACTTTAATACCTTGGTGTTAATTAAACCTGCCCCTCTGTTTCCCAAGCCAAGCAAACACTCGACAATCACTAGACCCCGAAAATCCTTTCCAGCTTAATTATATTGCTGAAGCGGCCCTACGACAATCCTCCTTGCTCTTCCCTCCTTCGCAGCCACAATCGTTAAATTATCGTAGAAACTTATGGTCAATACGCTCTTCTCGGCTAATACGAAAATATTTTTCCAAAATTTATCACAAATTTCCGTCTACGATTGACATCACAGTGCTCATCGTGATTATTTTGTTGTTCGAGTCTTTGCAAGGGTACCCTTGAACTGAAAATCCAATTGTAGCTTTTGCTGGAATTGAATTTTCAGTGCAAGGGGTACAAAATTACCAAAATATAATTCATTTTCTCTCGGAAAAATTTTATTTTGGAACCAATGATCGTGTTTCTTCAGCATCTAATGTTCTGTTTACTTTTTAGCTTAAGAGAAATAAATATGAGTAATAAAAAAAAACCTGCAATACTGTAAAGGTAATTTAAAATTTTCTTTGGATCAAAAAGAAAAATCTTGCACACAAAGAAAATAATCACATAAAATGATCACGATGGCATAATACGGTTGTCGAGGAAATAACTTTTGTAATTGAAAGAACCGGAAATATAAATGTATAAGGAATCTACTGGCTAAACCGATCCAACCACGAAGACATATCATAGGGTACATTATACAGTAGATAATTACAATTATCGCGACAGGGAGAGGTTTACCAACTTTTACAAAAAAAAAATAAATAAATAAATAAAGTTTGTTGAAATAAAATTACAAAAATAAATAAGCGTAACAATGGAGTAGCACAAATCTGGAGCTTTTCGAAGTATACCGAGAGGAAGTCTCTTAGCTTTCTATATCTGCATTAGTTTCTTAATTAAAGTTGAAAAGCAAAAAATGAAAAAAAATAAAATAAAAATAAGGAAAAAGCAAGTGAGCTCTTTTGTCCCACTTTGATGAAAGTACATGACTGGCAAGGGTAAAATCGTGAAATTAATTTAATAACAAAAGTGATGAAAGTAAAATTGTGAAAGTATATAAATTTATCCGCGACCGCACTGATTACATATCTTATATCGTTACAAATAATACAGACATATCAATATAATATAATAATACATAAATATATAAAAGTATATTAGATTTATGCATCAAGTAGGTACGTAATTTATCGTGCAAAAATTACATGTATATGAATAACATTAGCTGTATTATATATTCATGTAAATTTTGTACGAATATAGATTAATCAACAGGAGGACGGGATTTTGAAAGACTTTGTGATTAGATAGCATATTTCAGTCCAGATGTATTACGTATTCTTATTTTTATAATATTATTATTATGATGATGATGACACTTACAATTCAATGTACTAGACGTGTTTGAAAAAAAAAAACGCAATAATTTTCTAATTAGTTTGTCATCGGTTTATTTGATCATTTATTTACATATTTAGTTGGTTTTTATCTAGATACAAACATACATTTTTAAAACACTTAATTATTAATTTGCTTGTGCCGTATAAATTATTTATCACAAAAGCACCTTCGATCCCGTTTTTCCTCCAGTCACGTGAAACCTTCGAAATAATATTTTGCTGCATCAGCTAAAGCAAACGACAAAATCAACAGAGGATAAACCCACGAAAAACGCCAGCTGCCGAGCGAGCGAACTCTATCGCCCTCCTGAAATCGACGTCCAATCCGTTTACGCGACGAGCTGCAACAGGGATGGGACTGCCTCTGAAAGAATCGCTCTGAAAAGTAAAAAAAAATAGGGGGCGATTCCGGGCAAGTAACCGACCAACCGAGTGCTCCTCAGGGCCCAAAATGGCCCCTCCACGGTAAAACGGTACACGGACTCGAGCTCGCGGCCCTTGGGTCTTCGACGTTCGCGGCTTGAGCCGTCCCCGAGTTCCCCCCGCGAAAGTACCAGTTCGCGAGAGACCGTGGGCTGGAAAAGTCGGAAAACTCGGGCTCGTTTTCCCTCCTGGTCCACAAAGCTAGCATACAACCGTAGTCAAAAAAGTAGTGAAAAACGTAGTTTGTAGTGAAAAAGTTAACGTATTAGTGGGTAGTCATATGAAAAATCAATGTGAAAAACTATGAAAACTTAGCTTGTAAGGATTAAATAAACGAGAACTTCATGAATATATATATATACATTTATTTGTTTTACCCTTTGAATGAATGAGCACGTTGTACACACAAAGTTGAAACGAAAGCGTATTGGACAAACTGACACAACTTATAACCGTAGTCGAAACGAGTACTCGCTATACCAGAGTACTCAGTAGTGGAGCATTAAAAAAACCCATAAAAAAATTGCAAAATAAGATGATAAAAAAAAAAAAAATAAAAAATAAATGTATGCTGCAACTCCAACGAGTGCACGCTTACCGATTCGCGACTCAAGCCTAACGTAAACCCGAAACTCGACCGACAAACTAATCCCGATTAACGACGCCAACCTCGAGGGTATACCAACAGCAATACCAGTGACCCACAATATCTCCCACCCGCGAATGCCAACATCTCATTCTTGACCTTCTTCTATCCATTGCAACTCTATCTATGACTGAAAACTCAACACGCACGGCTGACCAACAAGCCCCGACCGACAATCGACGAGAGCACATCCGACAGGATGGGCATGCTCACCCCACGAGAGTAAAACGGACCGACGATGGTGCGCGGGTCCCGAGTCGTCCTTCCTCTCCAGCCGACTCACTCGAACTGGTACGATCGCCCGGAACCCCCCCCCCCCCAAAGAACGTCCCCCGCGAGGGAACTGCGATAGAGTCACCCGCTCGACTCTGACCAACAAAAAGTGGTCCTCGACTTACTGTTAGCCAAGTAAGCGCACACCCCCGTCGCACTGGAAAATACGTGCTGTCCTCAAATCGACACCGGCAAGGTGCCTACAAAACTCGCGGTCGCCCGCAAGGGTCTTTGACCTCGACTTGCAAGACACGGGGTACAGCTGGCAGTGCGTTGTAGACTACATGTCCACGCCACAGCGCCCCCGAGCCCCGTCAACGGACGGGTTTACCCTTCGCACGTGCATACGCCCACTTTGAGAAGGGCGATTTGTCATCTGGTATCGATACTGAATCGCGGATTGGAAAGCAAGACTGTGGAGCGTGGTAATCAGCTGTGAGTGTGTTGATCACGACGCACGCGTGGGTGTGCACATGCAAAGTGTTTCTGGGTCTTGGATTTTGCTGAACGCGCACGTATACGAGGACGGCGGGGGGTGTTTTGCGATATCGCATTTAATGATAATTAGGTATACATATTGCAAAGAAAGTGTATTTTCAATCTCTCGTTGGATAGTGCGTCAACGTATTGTCTTTTTCGATTGCTATATATTGTTGATACGTGTATGCTATTGCGTATATATGTTTGTAATCGTAGTGTGTATTTTGCACATCGAGTCCTTTGTCAATTTTTTTTTTTTTTTTTTTCCGTCGTTTATGAAAAATTACCATGTATGATTATTACTGTACATGTGAAATTGCTCAAGTGACATCATATTTATTTCGGTGAGAAAAAATACAAAAATTTGTGATTTAAAACGAGCTTTGGATAAGGAAGGATGAGCTTCATTATTATTATTTTCTTTTTTCCACTCTGTTATTTTAAATCAAAGGAAAATTCGCCGATGTACACGCACTGTTTCAACTAATGAAAGTAAAAACGGACATATCAGAAAAAAATTACATATCATGTAACTGTGGTAATAGACACGTAAGATTAACAAATAAACAAAGTTTTAACATTAAGACTAAGTACTTATAATAAATGGATTTTGACATTTTTTCGCGCTGGCTTTTAACTGGATGTATCGTATACCTCAAAAGGGTGCCTATTGAATGGATTAACTCAACGACTCTTTAATACCTAAATGTTGAGGAAAGTAAAATTGTGGCGAAGGTTATTGTAATACAGACGAGCTGATGGTTACATGATGTTAATTAAGTATATAGGCATGTGAACTTACGAAGCATCTTTGTCGCTGTGAATTTTTTTTTTTGTTGTTCAAGTTTGACATTGACTTTTTTTATCAAATACTTTGAAATAATTCGTATGAACCAACTATTACTCGTTAATTAATAGAAACTTTGTTTGGAGTGTAATATCTTTGTAAGAAAATTGTCTTGTTGTATTCAAGTACCCCATAAAAATCGCATTATCTTAACAAACGATAACAAAAAAAATTACCAATACGCTTGTACTGCTGTTGTTAATAAAGTGGCACTGTAACAGCACTTTTATTACGTATACTTCGATAGTATGATTCAACAATAATTCGTCGCTTGCAATAAAAAACCACCTTATAGATATCATTTTCAAATTATTAAAGTTAAAAATAAATTATAAAAGAAAAAAAATCTGTATGTGTGATAACTGTGTACATATCACTATCGCAAATAAGGTTGATATTATTAATAAGAAAAGCACATTCTTAAATTATGTCACGTGATAAAGTAATATTTATTGTAACAACGACAAAAAAATGAGCACAAAAAACGATTTAAAAAATTACCTCAAGTCCTTGTTTTTACCCCCTATTTACTTGAACCCTTCGTTCTATCATATGCGTACATGTGAAAAATAAAATGAAAAAATTAAAATCAAGCTCACATTGTGTGCGACCGTGAGTAGAAAATTAAAATCATATACTGCTCGGACATTATATACGAACAATTGAAAAAAAAGAAAAGAAAAAAAATGATTGTACACGATGTGTTATTTATTTTTTATCCTTCGCTCATCACACCCTCTATTACGACTATTATTATTATTATTATTATTATTATGATTGTGTCTCTTTCTCTCGATCTCAATGTATCTTCCAGAAAATTAAGAAATAAACATTTTTTTTCATGTACAAAGTATTTTTACAACACCTTCTGCGACTCAAAGCTTCATACCCGCCCCATTTTTTTGATTAAAACGAATTTTTATTTAGCTATTATAGCTTTTCTCTATATGTATATGGCCATCTTACACGTGCTACAAAGAACTTATTCGGAAACAGCCTCTAGCGCGCGTGAGTAACTTTGTAACGAAATAATACAAAGTCCATCAAACCACGTGACAGAATGTAAATGTGATGTAATCGCACACGTCCCCTTTTGCATGCCACCAAAGTTATCGAATTGAAAGTGTGTACATACATGGGGAAGGAGAGCCCCTCTCGCTCTCGAGTTACCGTTTCGTTTCCAATGCAAATTAAAAACAATAATATGTATATTTGTCCACGTGGTAATTTGTAAGATACAGTCAATTAATCACCAGCACTGAACAATACGACTCTTCCGGACTCGAGGATTTACAGTTTTGTTAATGTCCATTCATTGTACAACGATAACTTGTTAAAGTACGGGTGGGATTTGCCACGCAAAATCGGTTTGGATGATTAATTAATGTCATAAAAAAGTACAACTGTCTCATTTTTACAATGTTTATCCCTTCAATCCCGATTTTGCATAATTTTACTGATGCGCATCACCTTGCCTACTATTGAACATTGGGACCGCTGTGACCTCCCATCAATGTCTCCCCTGCACCCACAGAGATAAACATACTTATAGGAGGTCGATTTTCGGATAAAAGATATATTGTAAACTTGCCGCAAACAGCACATACTATGTCAACTTTATATTTTCTATCCATAAGATTAGTTGCGGCTGGTTTATAATCAATTATGTGGCTCTACCGTAAGTAGTAATAATTATTTGGATTAGCGCCATCTAGCGGTCTTTATTTTTGGCCAAAAGTGGCTCCTAAAATTCTCAACCAGAGCATTCAGGATTTGAGCCATTTAATCCATTATAAACCAGCCGCAACTAATTTAGTAGATATAAAATAAAAAAATAACGATACGTGTGTTTTTGGCGGCAAGTTAACAATCTATTTTTTACTCGAAATTTATCTTCAAAAGTATAAATACATAGGAGGTCGATTTTTTGGTAGAAAATAGATTGTTAACTTGCCGCCAAAAACACAAATATAGTTATTTTTTTATTTTATAGCTACAAGATGAGTTGNATTATTATTTTTTTATTTTATAGCTTTATCATGAGTTGCGGCTGGTTTGTAATTGACTAAATGGCTCAAATCCTGAATGCTCTGGTTGAGAATTTTAGGAGCCACTTTTGGCCAAAAAATAAAGACCGCTAGATGGCGCTAATCCAAATAATTATTACTACTTACGGTAGAGCCACATAATTGATTATAAACCAGCCGCAACTAATCTTATGGATAGAAAATATAAAGTTGACATAGTATGTGCTGTTTGCGGCAAGTTTACAATATATCTTTTATCCGAAAATCGACCTCCAAAAATATAGACATTCTACTTATATATGGTTTAATAAAATCGACCACATGGCACTACTTAATACTTAGTAGTGATTACTATAATTACTATACACATAACTTTACGTTTATCTTACACCGTGCTCGCTTTATTAAGTCAATGAAATAGAAACCGTCTGCTTTGCAACGAAATTGCAACTTGTGTGCCGCATGCATGCGTGCGCGCTTTATTCATGCACAGCGCAGACAGATAAGGAATGAGACGGAACCGCGGATCCGGTGAAACGCGTATAATTTGACGTGTCTTCCTTTTGAAACTTTATAACCTCAACTCTAGCAGAAAACTTTATTACTGCGGCTGCGGCATACGTTTTTTTTTTTTTTTTTAATAAACATTTTAATACTTACAAAGATTTTATTTAATTTTATTTCAAAAATGTCGGAAGAAAAATTTGTTCCACCAAAAGCACCGAGTGATCTGTGTTTCAACGAAATGGACTTTGTACAGGTACAAAAACTGTGAAAACATCTACAGTTCGAACCCAGCCCTTTTTCAATCGCTTCGTTATTTAATTTTAATAAATGCATTTCGTTTACAACTAAAGGAAGTCTTTGACGTTGACAAGTTTCTTCAAGAGCACAGAAAAAATGTCAGCCTGGAAAAAATGCGAGACGATCTTGGGGTTTACTTGAAGATCCTGCGCTCTGCCATGATTGAACTTATAAACGAAGATTACGCTGATTTTGTCAATCTTTCCAGTAATTTGATAGGATTGGACAAGTCTATTAGTGATTTAGAAACACCTCTAGGTCAGATCAAAGACAAAGTATTGGTAAATAAGTGAATAATTTATCCTCATGTCTGGTTGCATGTGCTTTTGTTTGTTTATTGGTTTTGATTAACATTTTCAGGAAGTAAAAAAATGTCTGGATGATACAATAGCAGAGATGACTGAGAATTTAGAGAAGCACAAAAAGATCAGGGAGAAAAGACAAAGTATACATAGTCTGATAAGGTTTCACAAGTCGGTATCAAAGTTAAGCAATATTCTCAGTTCCTGTGATGCATCGTCTGTTAGCTTAAAGCCCGATGTTCTTGAGCGTGCAGCCACAGAATTTAATCAACTTAAATTTCATTCCAATCGATGTAAGTCAGATCTTACCCAAGAGCAATTGAATGTAAGTAGCTAATAAGTATTTTAATCTTTTAACAGCTGATTATTGATTTTTCATATCAATCTGATTTGTACAGAAAATGACTGAATTGGATGAGCATTTAAAAAATAATTTAAATGCACTGCTCATTGCCTATGTAAATAGAAATGAAACTGCAAATTTAATTAGGTGTTTAAGGATATATGTAAGTCTAGATAAGGTACCAGATGCGGAGGAGGTAGTTAGGAAAAAAATTGTAGTGCCTGCTGTTGAAAATATCATCAGCGAACATAGTTTTCAAAATGATCCCTTAGGATTAAAAGGAACTTATCAAAAATTAGAGAGTGTTTTGGATAGTACATTGAAAGAGTTGTTGGATGCGACATCAGAAAATGAAAGGTAATACATTCTTTAAGATGTTTTTATAAATTTACTTTTTAAATATTGTATCAACATTTTCGTTCAAATTTTAGGACATCTGTAACAGGTTTTAATTTTTTGGTCAACAGTTTCTGGCCTGAAATTGAACAGAGGCTCGAAGATTATTTACCAATGATATTTGCCCCAGGAAATCCAGAATCATTTCACAAAGTATGATATTTCAAATAACTAGTTATTAAAAGGAATGGCACATAAATGTTTTACTGTTTTAATTGTTAGAGGTACATAGATACTCTAGATTTTTTGGGAAGCTTGAGGAGCAGATGTTCACCAGCAACTATTGAAATTTTAAAATGTCACTCTCAGTATGAAAGGTTTTTGAAAAAGTGGAATCTACCAGTATACTTTCAAATACGGTTTCAAGAGATGGCAGGTACTGCTGAGAGTGTACTGTCTGCAACAGTCTCTTATAATTCAATAAGAAGTAGTAAGAATTCCATGAGTCCTGATACATTTACGCTTCACGCAACGTGTATAGTATGGGATTGTATACTGAGGCTATGGGCAGACGATGTTTATCTTCCACAATTACTTCATAGGTCAGTGTAATTACAAAAAGTACTCGAATAATTTGTTTTTAAAAATTTTTTTTCTGTAATCTGTGAAATTTATCCCAGGTTTTGGAAATTGTGCCTTCAATTGTGTTCGAGATATCAACACTGGTGTCGAACGTCTCTGAAACAGGTGCAATAAAATCATTTTAAAAAAAAAAAATAAAATTTTCAATATTGATTTGAAAAAACTTTAATGTAAATTCATCCTCCAAACAACTTTAGGTATGGTCTGTAGTGACAGTAAATGAAACGGCTCACAGCCCAGAAGCAGAAAACGCCCAGAGGCTCGAATTCCTCGTCGGACTTCACACCGACATCGAGAAACTATCTACTAAAATGTCCAATTTTACCACCGAAGTGATACCCGATAAGTTAATTATTTTTAGTCCAAGGGCAATAGATTTAGTAAACGGTGAGATCTCAATTTCCGCTTATGCAAGGAACATTTTGGACAGAAATTATTTTTTCCTTTTTCTAACAGACTGCTTAAAAGATACGATGAAAAACTTTGAGGATCTCCTGCCTCTGGTGACGCAAGAAATAATCTCAGAGCTTCTGAGCCCAGGACTGATACACCTGCGTCAAATCAGCGATATTCCACGGCTGTTTCGTCGCACCAATCGTGACGAACCGACAAAACCCTGTCCATATGTCAAACGGGCCCTCGACTTTCTTTGCACCTTTCACGCTGACTACCGGTCTGTGGTGCCGAACAACGTTAACAGCTGGCTAGTGCACGCCCTCACATCGCTTACGCAACAGTGAGTCATTTCTTCACTTTCTTTGTTTGTTATCAGCTGCTTAATCACTTTCGAGCTGTTTAAGTGCTGAAACGCTCATTTGGCTTTGTTAGGTACTTGTCTTTGGTAAAGGACGTGCTCATATCTGTACAAAAGACAGAGGAAAGTTTGAGGAGGTTGAAGAAAATCCGGGATAAGTCTGCTGGCGTCTCAACTTCTGAAAGTCAAGTAATTAGTGATGATGAAAAGATTCGCATTCAGCTGCTCATTGATGTGAAAAGTTACATTGAATTGGTACGTTTTACACAGTCCTTTTTCATAAATAACAAATCCAAGCATCATGATTAATATCCACTTCATTTTCAGATCAAAGACTGGGGCATTGCTCAAAGTGATATTCAGAATTTGAATGAACTGTTGGATGTAGTAGTAACAGCCACTAAAAATAAAAGAGAGCCTTAATAATTTGCTGTACAAACAAGAAAACGTGAAAAAGTTTAGCTAACTGTTGCAACAGCCAAAGAGGTAAATTTTGTGTATTTTCATTAAAAAATTTGAAGCACATTTTCTTGACTCAATTATGTAAAGGATTACGTAGTGCAGCGTTAAACTCTTAATCAGCTCAAGTATTTACTTGTTTCGACCTTAGAAGAGTGTTTTTCATAATTTTTCCGCGAATCTGACAAAAGCATGTGAAATTTAGACCAAATGTGTCGATTCGAGAAATAAAGCGTAATAAATAAGAGCATTAAGGTTTCGGTGGTGTGCGCGTGAACCGGATGTGTTGCAAAATGAGTAATCCCGTAAGAAAGTTAGAGAGGGTAAAGCAAGTAAAGGACTCAATCGATGATAGCCCATCTCTCTTTTTAGTTACAGATTTTGCAAACAAGTGGAAGAAAAAACAAACCAGAGCAACAGCACAGAAGCAGCCTGCGTGTAAGAGGTTCAAGGGAAAGGTCACCCGATTCAGCGTTGGAGGCACGTCCCACACGCGCGCACCAGATACAAAGAGAAACCGTACGTTCGAACACAGTCCGCGTGACGGGAATACCAAAAAGCTGTAGTCGTGTACCCACACACAGGGTCGCTCATCCGCTGGAACAGGATTAAGAAGCCCCAGAACGTACAGCGAGCCCCGACGTCACTCGACCGGCTTCGTTTATAAGAGCCGTCGTCCTCATCGCGCGCAACGCAGTCCCGCCTCGCTCCCACGGCAAGGCGCACTCGGGTCTCGCTTTATCCCCAAGGCCGCAAGTGCGAATCGCGTCAAACCGGGACAGCAATCAAGATGGTGGTTAACTACCGGGTATTCAAAAAGTGCTCGCCGAACAACAACATCTCGCTGTACCTCGGCAAGCGTGACTTCATCGACTACCTCTCCGGCTGCGAGCCAATCGACGGAGTCGTACTCCTCAGTCCCAGCTACTTCGAGAACCAGCGCAAAATATGGGTCCAGCTAATCTGCAGCTTCCGCTACGGGCGGGAGGAGGACGAAGTAATGGGCCTGAACTTCCAGAAGGAGCTCTACTTGGCCTCGGAGCAACTCTACCCACGGGTCAAGAAGTCGGAGCACAACTTGACCAAGCTACAGGACAGGCTGTTGCGCAAGCTCGGGCCAAACGCCATTCCCTTCACCTTTGAGTTCCCAAACACGTCACCGTCCAGCGTGACTCTGCAGCCCGGGCCCGAGGAGACGGGCGAGCCGTGCGGCGTCACCTACACCGTCAAGGTGTACGCCGGCGAGACCGAGACCGACCGGACCCACAAGCGCAGCACCGTCACCATGAGCGTGCGCAAGATCCAGTACGCCCCGACGAAGCAGGGCCGCCAGCCGTGCACGGTCGTGCGCAAGGATTTCCTCCTGAGTCCCGGTGAACTCGAGCTCGAGGTCACCCTCGACAAACAGCTCTACCACCACGGCGAGCGCATAGCCGTGAACATCTGCGTGCGCAACAACAGCAACAAAGTCGTCAAGAAGGTCAAAGCCCTGGTGCAACAGGGCATCGACGTCGTCATCTTCCAGAACGGTCAGTTCCGCACGGTTATCGACGCCGTGGAAACACAGGACGGCTGCCCGATCAATCCCGGCTCGAACCTCCAGAAGGTGCTGTACCTGCAGCCCCAAATCGAGAACAACACGCAGAGGCGGGGCATCGCGCTCGACGGAATGATCAAGGGCGAGAATCCGGAGCTGGCGTCCAGCACGTTGCTCACGTCGCCCGACGTCAGGGACACCTTTGGGATCGTCGTGTCGTACGCGGTTAGAGTTAAGCTGTACCTGGGAGCTCTGGGTGGCGAGTTGACGGCAGAATTGCCGTTCATCCTCATGCGGCCCAAACCCACGGACAGATTCAAGGTGCTCGCGGACGACAATACGGCCATCGAGGAGATTTATGACGAGAAGGAGAGAGCAGCCATACGCGGTTAGGTGGGATTTGACATACATTTTTCTTTTTCCAACTTTTATCTATTGCAATGATGTCGTCGGACTTTTTCTTCCAATCATCATTTGATATACAACTTTGACAACTCTTTGAAGGGATTACGATGCTTTTTTTCGTTTATTTATGCCCCAGAGGAGTCATTTTTTTTTATTGCGTTTCTTGGAAAAAGATATGTCGGCAAGTGCACGTGACTCATTGCCGTCTAATATAAGTACACTTTAAAAATAAATTGAGATGGTCTAATATGCTTATTTCTGGTGAAATGTGACAGATATTGATTTTTATCATCGATGCTTGGAGTAAGATGAACAAGATCGCGAAAACAACCTATCAAGGGTTTATACAACGACGAGTGAATTAGATTAATTACTTTGTAACGTTTCTATTGAAACCATCAATCAAATGACGTTTACATTTTATTATTTTTAATTGCTTGGTAACAAATATTACAATTTACGCAACGTTATATTTTTAATACAATAAATGTATTATTATTTAAGTATTCAATAGATGTGATACTTCATAAATTTATTGTTTTTTCTTTTAAAAGTATATTATTGCTATGAAACCATTTAAAAAAAAAAAAAAAAAAAAAATTCTCTTAAACGAC